GGAAGTAGATTGCCCCATCTTCCTTCCGAGGAGTGGCTGGTGGGTTTGAACCGCCAGCCTTCTGGTTAGCAGTCAAGTGCCTTAGGCACTGTATTTATTTGGTTTGGAACTTATTTTATGTTAACATTTTGCCCTTATTTTTATATTAGTTTTTCTGAAGGGTAAAAACTAGAAAGAATGTGATAGGTCTACTGAAGGTGTTAATGAAATTGTTGAGGGGTTAGTGCAAGGGTGGGACTGGCCCCAAGGATTTTGTCTAATGTCCAGTGAAGCAGTAGACCTAATCCTGACAAACTTCCTTATAAACATATCATCAGAATCTGTTGAAACTCTTGGATTTTACCGTTCTTGTAGAATTTTATCTGGTGATAAGTTTTTTCTTCTTTGTCAGACTCCATATTGTTCATACATCAAGGTCTCTGCAATAAGACCCCATCACAACAACCATCAGTTTAAATCTTTTCCTTTAATGCTTTCAAAAACAAATACTTAACTGGCCACAGAGTATTTTAACTACCTGTTTAGATATTTGGGTTTACAATCACTCCTTTGTGGCTTATCTCAGAGCATCAATTAATCCTAAAGAATTGCCCAGGAGCCAGAAGTACATAATAATTTAATCTTAAGGTTGGTTAGGTCAGATTGGGGAAGGCTTTTCTCTGATGCCTACGCTGGAGGAGAAAATGACTGCTTTAAGAAGTTAAATTACATCCACCGTCACTAGCAGAGCTGAGACTTGAACACAGGCTTGAAACCAAAGCCTATGCCAGTGTGTTTTTCAAAAGGTAGACCGTGAACCAACTGCATTAGAATCACTAGGGATGCTTATCAAAAACATATTCCTGGGCCTCACTGATGGGCCACAGAACCTACGGGGATGGAGACCAGACACCTGCTTCTTTGTCAAGATTGTCAGTGATCGTTAGCATACCACTGTACAAAACCCTATGGTCTCCTGATGCTGCAGGAGAATTATATACACTGAGTGGGTGCTTCTGTAAAGATTTACAGCTTTGGAAACTCTATGGGGCAGTTCTACTCTGTCTTATACCGTTGCTTTGAGTCACAATCAACTCAATGGCAATGGGTTTTTGGTCTGAAATGTGGATGTATTGGGAGAGGGTATGAGTCTGGCTCTAGTCTTTCTGCTCTAAGCACCAAGAAACCACAGGGCTTCAATGATTATCCAGGTGACCTCAGCTTGTTCAAGAGAATGATCAGAACAAGGGCTGTCCTGTCTGTGGCCAATGGGAAATTAAGTTTACACTTTTCTCAGGGCTCCAAAGAGAATTTGGCTCATGAGAAGAAAGAGGTGGGTGGAACAAAAGGAGAAAATGAATTGGCTGATTATTTGGCAGATTTTGAAGAGCTTGTTGTAGGGTCCAGCCTGCAGCTGATCCAGAAATGTGACAAGAACTAGACCAGAACTCACCCCAATCCTCCCCCATTGACCCAAGGCTTCCACGGAATATTGCCATCCAGTGATTAATTACAGCATTTCATGAGGTATAAATGCTAGGCAGCAACTTCAAAAACTACTCCTCAATGAGGGTTAAATGCTTCTTCTAAGACAGCCTGTCTAAAATAAAATTCACAGCAGAAATTCAGCCTACCACATTTTCCAACTAACCACATTCTGTGGAAACCCAGGCAGATCTACAGAACTGACAACAGTGCTCAAGACTGAAAGTACTATTTATTTGAAAAGAACTCAATTTGAAATTAACCAAAAGCCTAAACTAAACCTCTCACCATCCAGTCAATGACAACCCTTCAGTGCAGAGTAGAATTGCCTCACAGGGTTTCCAAGTTTCAAGGCTATAAATCTTTACGGAAGGAGACAGCCACATCTTTCTCCCATGGAGCAGCTCGTGAATTTGAACGACTGACCTTTCAGTTAAGAGCCAAGTGATTTAACCACTGCATCACAAGTCTCCTCTCTTGAAATTAGTGGATCATTCTTCTTTCAGGTTTGCATTTGAGTGCTTACAAGATGAATGTGTTTTTCTTCCCCAGTCTCAGGAGGCCCAGGTGCTGAAACAATTGGCAGAGAAGAGGGAACACGAGCGAGAAGTCCTTCAGAAGGCTTTGGAGGAGAACAACAACTTCAGCAAAATGGCGGAGGAGAAGCTGATCCTGAAAATGGAACAAATTAAGGAAAACCGTGAGGCTAATCTAGCTGCTATTATTGAACGTCTGCAGGAAAAGGTAACCACACCAGAGTCCTGAGTACATGGCTATAGTCATATGCACCACAGGCTGGGTGATCTCTCATAGGCCCGAGCACCTGAGAGTTAGTCAAAATTTGCTGCAGGTGCAGAGGTCAGCTAACCCCATGGGCAGAGTCTCACAGCAGGGAGTGTAACACGGTGGAGGAATGGGGATCCAATATTTAACCTGGGATTTTCTCAAATTTTCCAGTGGCAAATGGATTCAAGGAGGCTGCTTTATACTTTTCAAACGTATAAAAGATTTTTATATTAGTCTTAAGGATGGACCTATTATTTAAATAGGAAACGCTGATTTGTCAGAAAAGATCAGAATATTTATGCCCACTGGTAAGCCCATTCTCTCCATTTTTGAAAATGAACCACCACTGCCATCACCATCATCCCCCCAAAAAAAATCCCTTTATGCTGGAGTCCAATTTTGACTCACAGCAACCCTATAGGAATCTACCCTACAGAGTTGCCAAGGCTGTGGGTCTTCATGGAAGCAGACTGCCACATCTTTCTCCAGCACAGGGACTGGTGGGTTCAACCACTGATCTTTCAGTTAACAGCTGAGTGTTTTAGTCACTTTGCCACCAGGGCTCCTTTAGGAAAACTAGGGTATAATAATAACCTTGCATAGAATCAATGCAAAAGCGAGCTAGTGGGGACACTCATTTTATCAAGGTCTGATATCTTTGTGCATTTATCTTCATCAACCTGAGCAGACTCATTCCCATCAGTCAAGATGAACAGTGCTGGAGTTCTCTGAAAAATGTTCTCTCTTTCTGCTTTGTAAGCCCTATACAATCTATCTTCCCCAAAAATTTCCTTTTAAAAAGTACATTGTGGATATGAGTAATTTTGCTTTGTCTATGTGAGTTAGGCAATGGAGATACAGAGATAAATAGAACTGTCCCTGTCATCAAGGCACTGAGAGTCTAGACAAGATCAGCCCCCTTTTCTGAGTATTTTTTAGGAAACTCCTAGTTCTCTATTAGAGTTGGCCCATCTCATTTAAGGTTCAGGTAGCCTGATCAGGAAGTGCTAGCAATACTTTGTTTTCACTCATATTCTCTGATGACAAATGTCAGTCTAGACTCCCCCCAAAAGAAATGCAAAAAAAAAAAAAAAAACTACAAGAATGTAATAAATATGAAAATTTTGGGCAATCTACTTCCATAGTGATATTGCCTCGGAAACCCAAAGAGGGGTCGCTAAGAGTCAGGTCCGACTTAACAACCC